AACTTCAATACAGAATCTCTTCGTAGTAGAACAATAATCATAGGCTTACGTCATCCCTTTTTCATTTTTACAGCATATTCAGATTAATCCACCATGCACATCCAAAATGAAAAACTCATTTAAATGGAACTGAAACGGAATGAATTAATAATCATATAATGGATCGGTTCTCGTATCTGAGCTGACAGAAGGGCAAGTGTAAGGACTTAGATAAGAAATCTGTAATTTGCACTTTTGAATTGTACTTTTCAAATTGCATTTTTCCATATTGTAAAAATTGCATACTTGTTGTCAGGTAGCAATCGCTGGCTGCAAATATTTAGGTTTTGGAATACCTAATTCCAATTACAAAAGAGTGAAAAAATTCTAGAATGTCAACTTCATGAATCTTCAGACAATAGTAATTGCTCACTGATTTGATATCATATCTATTGATGCTGGCCAGATCAGACCACTCTAAACAATCACCTGCAAAGCATTGTGACCCTGACTTCAGTGTATTCCGCATCATCTAGCCCGATTCATATTTTTCTATTTACCCACTATCATCGATCAAGTATTCGAGCAAGATTTAGAAGGCAATGCAATTAACATACCGATATGAATTTTAAAAAAGTACCAATGAACAAAAAGAAAAAGCGGTTTTGGAAATTCACACCTCAAATTCATGCTCCATGTTTTCTTTATTCTCTAGAATCTGAAATTCCAATAATTCGTTCATTTCCTTGGATTCGATCAATTCTGCTTCCATGCTTTCCATTTTGGAACGTTGCTCCATGATATGATCCTGCAGTCTAGCGATACTATCCAACAATTCCATCGTATTTTCCGACTAAACTAATAGTTATTTACAGGTTAACTGCATCCACATGGCACCTTGAATTCAATGATTTCCATATTATTTTGTCTGTTTTTATTTGCTCATTTTTGCGAGTAGATAGAGCTAATAGATTTCATAGCTCCCGTCCATTCGGCAATTTTCTTATTGGATATGGGTGTGAACAATGACGAGGAGATTGCAACGATATGCTGACTTTGTTGCATTCCTCATCGCCCAAAGTAAACTTTACAATTAATCCTGTAATTGTCGAATGTAATTTAGACTACTTGTGCGAGGGAGACTCAAGTTGAACTGAATAGTTCCCTTAAGAAGAGCACTTATAATTTATTCACAGCATAGTGCTATATATACATCCTTCCTTCTAACTGTAGCACGTATGAACACTCATACTGTTAGCCACTAATTCATTCTGTTTAGAGATCATTCAATTAATATACAGCTTCCACTTAAGATCATGCTTTAACTAGCGGCGACAAGTCATTTATGATTTACTTGTGACTGTTGCTGTTCGATGACAACCTGTTGTTGAGCAATTGTTGTTTGGGCGCAAATTAGCTGATGCCTTAGAAGCTGATCATCTTCGAGCCCATATTCACCCGTTTTCAATGCTGATAACGTTCGTCGAAGCTGTTCACCCTCGCGAGCGATTTGTTGATAACCATTTTCGATATCTTTATCCAATGCCTATAATTTGGGATGTGAGTATAAGTGTCTTCTATCTTAACTGTCTGTCTTTGGTCTGTCACATTTTCGATATCATTGATTTGAAACTAATTTGAATGATACCATGGAAGAGTTATTTTTAAAATAAAAACAATCCAAGGAGGTTTATTTTTCCAAGGTTTAAGAAAAAATTGTTTTCAAGATTGAATACTTCGTTCAAGTCTTCTGTAATAGTGTTTAGCGAGATGGAACTTTCAGCAGAACAATCAGATCCACCAAACGAAGACTGCCTGTCCTCCTCGGTTTCGCCATTTTTTCGAGAAGATATACATTTTCTCAGTCTTTTGAATTTTTGAACTAACAAATCATAGCGACGATCCTTCTCCTGAAATGTGAAGAAGAGCGCGATGAAATGACTGCCCAATAACATCATTATTTCCCACTAGCACAATTTATAAACTAATTTCAATCCGTCTTGCAAAATATTACCTGACCTGTTTTCGTCGCTATCGAAATATGTATATATATGACATGTACCAGCAGCAGAAAATGAAGAAAATGCTTCTGATACAAAAAGACTTACCAAACCTGCTTGCCTCAATGCAGTGATACACTTGGAGTACTCCAGTACTTGATTTCTATACCTGTCTAATTCTTCCAGTTTTTCAGGAAATGCCCTTCTTTCCTTCAGGTTCTGATTGTCTTTCAGCAACCTTTCATAGTCATCCTTCTGAAATTCAGTTTAGAAATCAGTGGAAGTACGGAAATGAGTCACAATTATTTAGAGTACACTCACTGCTAATGAAAACTAACCAACGTTAGGAAATCATCCTGCGAGTGGCACAACTTCTGCTCGCAGTTTTTCATTTTATTTTAAAGTATTCGATTTCGCTCAGTTAACCGACGATTTTGTTCGATCAAAGGTCGTTGGATTCGTTCCATTTCAACAATTTTTTTATTCTATAACTGGATTCATTTATTAGCTGAAAAAAATCGGAAAAATCCAAGGTCCGAAGACCAATTGCGATAAGTAATATATAATAGTCTGCAATAGCTTTAGGAAAAAAAAGAGATCAAAATGTGAATCATAGAAATAGGAAAACAGTTAAAAGAAG